GTTAATACTACTTAGTTAACAAGATGAGGGACTGTTAGCTGAATTGTGCCACAACGATATGAGTAGGCCTTGTGTTTCCATTGAATTTCACGTAACCTTGGATCCCAAAAAGTGTTGCCATTCAGGTCGGAATGCAGTTTTGACTTCACCTAGGCCTCATCCTCACATAAAGCGGGACTTGAACCGTAATAGTGCAGTGCATAATCTTAATCCGTTAACCACTACGCTGCACCCCCAAAAATGCCTTTGAGTTACAGGGAAGAAGTGAATATCAAAGAAGTCTAGACCTTTCCCATAACAAGCTTCTTTGGTGAGATTTTCGACAAAACAAAGTCGTGTTTGTCATAGCAATCGACTACAGTACTTGTTTTCGTTTGTAAGTAGGTTTTCGAGACCGCTATTAGATCGTGAATAGGAATATTCTTCATAACCTTTTGTGAAAAAGAACTGATTGTTAAATTTTATTTCAATTTTGTGAGTTAACCTCACGTTTACATTGAATTTTACATGGCTTTGCGTACCCTGGTCTGAGTCCCGCTGGAGGTGCTGAGGAGACCTTGGCGAGGTCGAAGCTGCAGTCTACTCTTGATAAGAATGCCTTTTGAGAATACAATGCCATATGGACTTCAATGGGAATGCGAGGCCTTCTCATAGCATTGTGGGAAAATTGAGCTAATAATATTTCATCACTTTAAATAAAATAGGGTGAACACATTTCCTTTTCTAGATCTACTAGTGGTCTCGTAAATCTACTTGTAAACGCTAATAAATTCCTCTGCACGGATTAATGATTACTTAGAACTATACTCATATGCAACCAAGTCAATTGTAATGACAAAAAATCTTATTTTAATCGACATTCCCGCCTAAAATGTGACTTTTGCTAGGTCTCAACTGCTTTGAATATCACATCTGTCCAGTGATTTTAGAGTAGAATGGTAACGCCGACAGGATACTAGCGGTGCTGTACATAATCCCGTTGATGGTGTCGATAAGTTGTGTTGGAGGTGGACACTGTGGTCAAGTCCAGCCTGGATGCGATTGCCTTTTAGGAGGCAAAGCTAGATGAAAGGCAATGATATCGTGTGGCCAATATCACTTATTGAAGAATTTTACTATCATTTATTAAGGCACCTTAAGCGGCAAATGGTGACTAAGTTGTGATTCGAAAATTATTGCTAGTTTCGATATATCTAAATGCTGAATATACTCGTCTATTTTTTGCTCCATCGAGCCCAATTTCTTGCAATAGAAGTACTCAACTGAGCCCAACAGTGCGATATCCATATCAGGCGTCTTCACTTGTATAATCAGAAGAAAAGATGCTGACCTAATGAAGATAGAGCTCAAATCCGCCAATAAGGTCCACTTTAACTTATGATCCATGGTGCATCTTTCTACACGACGGACTGCAGACTCATCTTCTAATTGAGGCCTCTGCGACAACAAACATAGTCTCAACTACTCGGTTACATTACGTAAACGTTAAAGTCGAAAACAGTTCATCTTGACTCATATTTTAGAAAGAAAACTCATCATGCTCAACTATTACATTCTGCCTTAGTAACTTTTAAAAATATCCGTTATTCTCAAATAATGGCAAGATCATCATAGTTCGCTAACGCAAATTTAAGGACGAATATTCAAATTGTCCCACAATTATTTGGGCCAAAGTGTTTACGATGCCATTGACTTTCACTAGTTCTTGACTTCGGAAAGATTTTTTAATCAAGGTGGGAGTGCCCTCTTGGTCCCTGAAGTTAAAAACCTGTTATAAAGAAATATTAATTATGGGAAGTTGTGAGAAAATTCTTTGATTGCCTTAAGCGACTTTGGTTAGTTGTTAGATTAGGAAAATACACACTCCGAAAACAGAAGTGAGTATGCCATGATTCGACAAGCAATGCCATCTATCTCACCTGATCCTGACACTATATTTCGGTTGCTAAATGCGATGCGTCCAATGCGAAAGGTTTTTAATGCCTTTTTAGTTTTACTCTCTACTATCATCCTCTGTTCTAGAAAGAAAAATTTTCACTTGGTGAAATGGCGGTCGGTGCGCTTACTTTTTCCTCACGATGAGCTCTGGATTATCAGCCTTAATGAGACTGTATGATTTTTGAACATAGTTCTTTGGGCTTTTTGATTGTCACTCTTCATTTCTGGGTCACTGAATTTGACTTACAGAATGATTTTTCTCTTGCAGATAGCGGAATACACAGGCATAATTATGTCAGCAGCTCGACAGACTTAGATGCTTGATAATTATCCACTACAATTTGGAAAGGATCAAGTTAATCCAAACAAAAATTCACTGAATAGTGAGGCTACACTCGCTTCCTCATCTCTAAAATTGATTTATGGCTTATTCCTGACATCCTGACTGGTTCAGAGTAGCTACTGAAGCCTTAAGAGCTCTACCCTGCAAAGAAAGGTTTCACTTAACGATGAATTCAAGACCCAGATGACCTGAAATTGGGAGGGATTTGTGTCTTCTCGTTGTGTTCACTTTATATAGTACTGGCATATATTCTTGTTACAGGTAGGGAAGAACTAAGTGAAAGTGTAAAGAAATGAAATAGACATTCCATTATAAGGAATCAAGCTATTGAATACTTTTAACACTGCATAGTCTATGACGCAAACATATTCACAATAGCCCAAACAATCTTATAATTATTTTCATTTTACCATTTTGACATTTTGGTATACATATTCAGCAAAGAGTTACAAGTTAATCAACAGAATGTTTCAGGCTATACTGAGTCGTCTATGAGTTCACAAATCGTCTCACCCAACAGACGGTCTCGATCCCGGCAGACCAACTGTCGAGCCGGAGGCACCAACACTGAGGCACGAAGGGAAACTAGTGAGGGCAAACTAAAGAGCAGACCAAAATGGACAGATAAAGAGATGGCCACATCAATCTGTCTCGAGGATAAGCATTCCGAGGTAAGTATACATTAATTTTAACCTACAGTGTCATTAGGCCAACACGTATTATCTTTCAACAAATTATGATCATAGACTTTCAAGCAAATTGAGCAACTTAAGGTGATTAAGTTCTGATTCGAGAATTACTTTTAGTCTAGAAATATACCCATGCTAAATATCCTCATCTATTTTCTACTCCATCGAGCCCAATTTTGTATAACATAAGCGCTAAAGTAAACCATACCGTGCAGTGATCACAGCAGACTTCTTCACTGTTATTAACATAAGAAATGATCGCGATTTAATGAAGATAGACCTCAAATCCGCGTTGACTTATGCCTCATGTTGCATTTTCATACAGGACAGACAAGTAAAGTTGTCTCAACTAAATGGTTTGATTTTAAATTATTCGCGACTGAGTATTGTGTTATTGACTGACTTCTAAAAAATACATCATCTGCGCGAAATTTGGTCAAGCTTGACTTCGTTTTTTGACTATATTTGGCCTATTCAAAGAAACATTGAATTTCAAGAAATCTCTTGGTCTATACTTCTTGAACTAACTTCCATTTCGATAAAGAAATTCGCAGGTCGATCTTACCAAAAAATGACGCCTGATTCCTGTTGAACTACAGCCGTTTCACTTTAATACGACGCTCAGGTTGACGCAGTCCCCGAGGCATCCTCGATTGTTCCTGTTGAAAGTTGGCTAAGATCGTATAATGGGCATCATCAGGGGTGACATTTATTATTGTAAAAGTCTCATGTTAACACTAGGCCAAGAATACTGTCCTGTTTTATATATTTCTTCTTATATATACTCATACCTAAAAAGGAAAATGCATAAGCATAGATAGATACATGATAATCTGGCTAATTATCTACCATAATGGTCATGGTACTCTTACTTGTGTGCTTGTGCGCATATGTGTGTGTATGTGTGTTAACATCTATGCACAATAACCATCCTTAGTCAGAATGCGTAAATTGGCCTAATGTCATGCTTGGGTCATCGAGGCTTAATAGTCCAAGAATAAACACCCAACCGAGACTGCATAAGCATTTCCAGTTTAAGT